AACGAATATGAAAAGTGTTTGGAAAAAACGTTATGAAAAAGCCGAGATTGAAAAGGATATTTCAAACTACTGCAAAGGCTTGAATATGAGTGCTTCTTCCATCGTGCAACAAATTGAACAATTTCTTCTCGAGTACTCATCCCGATCAGTGCAAGAGAATAATCATCCTAAAATTGAATTGTTGGGAGCTGCTCGTTTAGGCCTAAATTCAGAGAGTGAACAATATGTTTGGATGGATTCTATTCAGAGTGTTCATGCGAGTGCCATTCGGAAACAATGGAATTGTGTGGTGCTGAAAATTAAAGCCTTGTTGCCGACAGCGGTGAATATTCCTCTTCCGTTTTATTGGGAAATTCATTGTGAGAGAATTGAGCCGTCGACGGTGATGACCAGTGAGAATTATGGAGAGAGTATTGACCATTCCTATATATTAATTCAAGACTTTGAGGATGAAAATTCACAAACTAGTGACAAGAAGAAACGTAAACGTAAAAACAATGAAGAGGATGACGAAGTGCAACAGGACAACCAAAACTCTGCCAAATATTTCTATGAAAATGGAGAGAGTCTATTCATTTGTAATCAAATCATACGACCCTTATTAGGGATTGTCCATATTCAGAGTTCTCAAATTGATCAATTGAAATCTTTATGCTTGAAAAAGGAGCAAGAATTGATTAGTTATCGACAAATGTACAGTAGCAGCTCGGGATCAAATGCACAACACTCTTCTTCAGATATTTTGGATGTTTTAGATAGGATTTTAAAGCCCTCTAAGACTAGTAATTTTAATGAGCTTTGTGACATTTCGTTTGGTCTCACGACAACGTCACAACAGACATTATCTTCTCAACAACAACAACAGAAGTTAAATGATGAAGACTCTACAAATCATCATGCAACGACAACAAATATACTTCTGCGACAACTCTATTCACAATTCATGAAATCCTCAAGTTCAGATAATTGTACTCGCTCAAATACAAATGCAATAGTCAGCAAGAAAAAGAAGACAAGTGCAGAACCGCTTTCAGCAACGTCTACATCTTCAAAAAAACAGGTCTCTCTCAAAATTTTGATGTTGGTGGTGACCTCCTTCCAGAAGAGGTATACACAGGCAATCAATTGCAAGCTAACGAGTCTCACCAAACCCAACCACAGCAGCAACAATTGTCACAACCCTCAGTGGTGAACCTTTCTGATTCTGCTCCAATTCTACAAAACACTCTAGATATCACTACTCATTCAATTCCTACAAGCCAGTGCTCTGAATATGTCGAAACAGAGGAAGAAAAACGAAGAAGACAAGAAATCGAAGAAAAGCTTAACGAGAAGCGAAAGAAAAAGCAAGCCAACGAACAGAAAAATAAAATTAAAAAG